TCAGTGTGAAGCCCTGCAAACATAAGTATTAAAGTATGATGTTAAAGAACTGGCAATCTTTTCCCCGCTCCGCGACGGCAGGAAGGTCCCGCAGAAAGGCCGAGTCGAGGGCCAAGAACTGCCAAAGGAAAGGCCGATGGAAGACTTGTGAAGGCCGGGGCCAGGAGCGTCCAAAAGAAAGGCCGATGGATGACTCGTCTTGTGATTGATGTGCTTAAGTTCTTTATTATTTTAGAGGACTGACCTAAGGACCCAGGAAGACCAATCATCCACGCTTTTTGCTCGAAGACTTAGCCTTCGCCGGCGCTGGCAGAACTGGTGGATCGTCCTCAGCCTCTTCTTCTTCCTCTTCCTCTTCCTCTTCCTCCTTCTTCGCCAGCTTTTGTTCTTCTTCACGCAAGTTCTGCTCAGCTATGCGAGCTCGCTTCTTGGCCTTCTCCACAGTCTCTTTGGAGAACCGACTCTCCAGGAGGACCTTCTTGTCCTTCTTCTCCTTCTTCTCCTTTGTACCCTCTTTCTGCTTCTTGTTGGTCTTCTCCTTTTTGTCCTTTTTCTCCTTTTTCTCCTTCTTCCCCTTTTTCTCCTTCTTACTCACGTGAGAGACCTGCTTCATCAGGGCGTTGAAGCAGCGGGCCGTCTCCGATGACATGGGACTGGCCATCGAGGAGGAGGAGGACCCACGACGTCGACCGGAGGACCTCGCACGACCAGAAGACCTCGCACGAGTCCTCCCACGCCGCCCTGAAGACCTCGCAGGACTAGGAGAGGCCTTCGGCGACGGCAGCAAAGGAGTCGGAGAAACAGTCGTCCTCCCGGACTTGGCGAGCTCCTCCTTGAAGCGAGCCCTCTCCTCCTGGACAGCAGAGTTTGTGATTAACGATTGATGTGCTTCAGCTCATTTACCCTTGGGATTAGTTTAAGGCGGAACTCTAAAGTTTTTTTCATTTCAGGTGTAGGGCTGTAAAGATGCGAATGGTTAGGAGGCTTAGGCTTAAGGTTTGAATCCACCGCCTTGTGGAGGGCCTCTGCATGCTTCAGATTCTGGGATCGCCGCCACATGTCCAGTCGGAGGACCTCATTCTCCCTCTTCACCTTCTCCGCCGTGTCCAACCGCTCAATGGAGCTCGCCCTTGGAGCTTTGAAGGGAATTATAACAATAAGGTTCAGGATTTAGGGTTTAGGGTTTAGGTTGTAAGTGCTTTGTCAGTCAGCCAAGACACATCACCTGCTCCGCCATCCGAGCCACCACCTCCTGCTGAGGGCCGGTGTTCACAGTCACAGCATGGCCAGGATTCGGCTGAGAATGCAAAGCAGGAGGAGGAGCACGGAATGGCTGTAGAGGGCCTGCAATGCTTCCGCACATATTCCAATTAATTGCTGCGCAAACCGGCTAGGCTAGTATTAAATAAACTTAGACTACTAACTTTGCTACTTCGTAGTACTGCAGCTAACCTAAATCATGTTAGTCTAATCTAACACTAAGACGACGCCCAAGCCTGGGCGGATAAAAGGGCTCGGAGAGGGAGTGCCCTTCGGAGCTGCCGCTGAGATTCCCTTCGGGAGGGCCGGCTTGGGATTGGAAACTGGAGAAGGCTTGGGATTGGCCTTGCCAAAGAGAGGCTGAGGAGGGCCTGACTTGGCGGCAATCGGTGGGTTCGCCTTCGGAGGACCAGCGGCAATCGGTGGGTTCGCCTTCGGAGGACCAGCCCCGCCCTCCGGGTTGGCCTTGCTAAAATTATAGCAATTCGGCCAACCCGGAGGGCGGGTTGTGGGATCTGGGAGAGGCCTGCCCCCCTGAGTGGCCTTCCACCTCGCTGCCGCCTTCGCCTCCTTAGTTTAAGGCTCTGGGTAAAACGAGTTAAGCAAGCTAGCTAAAAACTTAGGGAAGGAAGTAATGGTTGGGGGATACTCCTGGTGGGCCTAGAAATGATTAATTCAGCTCCTACCCCCTATCCCCCTAAAACCCTAAACCCCTAATAAGCATACTAAAACCTATGAATAAAAGTGATTCCGTGAGGACCGAGAGACCGACTCTCTGGCGGCGTTCCGCCAGTAGTCGGACACCTTGCCTTTCTTGACCATGGCAAAGGCGCCGACGGAGTCGGAGGACCTATCGAAAAACCTGGATTAAAGTGCCTAGCCCACTGGGCTTAGATCTTCAATTGAGTGTAGATGGCTTATGGAACTACTTATAGCTACCTGGATGTCAGTTGGCAACAGCTCAAATGCTAGTTGCCTCTCAACAACTTCTGCTATGCGAAGACTTGACCTGGATGTCAGTTGAGGCAACAGCTCAGGAGCTAGTTGCCTCTGAACAACTTCTACCAGCACAAAACTAGACTTGTACCTGGATGTCAGTTGGCAACAGCTCACAAGCTAGTTGCCTCTAAACCAATTCAGGCTATGGATGACTACAGGAGACTCACTCCTAATGTGTGTTAATTGAACAGGCCGGATGCCCCTCAGGCTACCGGGATAAGTTTTCGAAAGTTCGCAGGAAGTTCGCAGGAATCGCTGACTGCAAGCCGAGGTAGCGGCAGTGGCATACAAACATACCGAGAACACAAAAAACACAACGGAAACATAACCTGGCTGAATTAAGGGGTCTCGTCTGAGTCTGAGGGTGTAAGGATTTCCGGCTCATTGATTGAGTGCTAGATGCAAGATTCAGAGAGTTTCGGGTCGTTGTCCATTGAGTCCCAGGATTGTGGACTTAGGTGCTTAGGTTCGCGGGTGAAGGTGTTGGTTGAAGGCTTAGGCCTCAAAGGGTTTAGGCTATTTCGGTTTAGGGTTTGATCCGTTCTTGCCCTAAGACTGGCAATTGCCGAACCACTAGCCTCAACAGCTAGATTCTAAGGCTATTGAGTAAATGCTGTTGACACGTGTTGAGGATCACCCCACTTCACGTCTAAATCATGCTTCATAAGACTATGTACGGCAAAAAAACAAAGAACCCACACCATACACACCCCTCCACACTATGGGTTCCTGGGGCCGTGCTTTATGACACTGAAGTGGAAGAATACAGAAGCACCCCGGGACACCTACACAGCCCTCCATTAACAGGCTCCTTGGGCCATCCATGCATTATGTCATGTTATCCAATTATTGCACCGAAAACGAATATGAAACTAATATCTGTATCATGTGGGAAATACGGAACCCACCCCACAACAAAACCCCTCCACGCTGAAGCTTCCAGGGGCCATGCTTTGGGTTACACGCAGTGCTGTTAGCAATACTTTTTGTTTGGGTTAATGAAATAATGAAAACCCCGGCCAAAGCTCCCTAAACCTTCGGCCTAAACTCTGAATCGCCCTCCCGTCTCTCCTCCAGGAGGGCCAGAAGATGGATCCGCCGAGCCTCGTGAAGTTAGGCTTTAAGGCCCTAGGGTTGAGGGTTTCGGGGCCTTGGGTTTAGGGTTTCGGGGCCTTGGGTTTAGGGTTTCGGGGCCGAGGGTTTAGGGTTTGGGTGCTAGGGTTTAGGGTTTAGGGCCCTAGGGTTTAAGGTTTAGGGCCCTAGGGTTGAGGGTTTGGGGCCTTGGGTTTAGGGTTTCGGTGCCTTGGGTTTAAAGTTTCGGGGCCGAGGGTTTAGGGTTTGGGTGCTGGGGTTTAGGGTTTAGGGCGCTAGGGTTTAGGGTTTAAGGCCCTAGGGTTGAGGGTTTGGGGCCTTGGGTTTAGGGTTTCGGGGCCGAGGGTTTAGGATTTAGGGTGCTAGGGTTTAGGGTTTAGGCCCCTAGGGTTGAAGGTTTGGGGCCTTGGGTTTAAGGTTTATTAGGGCCCTAGGGTTGAAGGTTTGGGGCCTTGGGTTTAAGGTTTCGGGGTCTTGGGTTTAGGGTTTCGGGGCCGAGGGTTTAGGGTTTGGGTGCTGGGGTTTAGAGTAGTTAGTGGATAGTAGTTAAAGGCAGTAGTTAGTGGTTGGAAATTTGTGGTTAGTAGTTAATGGTTAGTAGCTAAACCTGGAAACCCAGGGAGGACCTACCAGGATGGGGAAGACCCCGATTAAAGCCAGCACCCCGCCCAAAACCCAAAAACATCCTCCTCGGCCACCTTAAATCCCAAAGCCTCCCTCATCACAACTTGTGCTACAAACCCTGCACTACGACTACGATTACTGATGAGTCAAGCCCCAGACTCAACCCGGAACCAAACGAACATCCCGCAACCCCAACCCTGGTCCTACTGTCGTCCTAAGTCGCCGAGTCCTTCCGTCCTAGCGGACGGTGAGTCCTAACGGACTCCGGACTCTATCGTCCTAACGGACGATCTCGTCCTAACGGACGAGTCCGACCTAACGGTCGGGCGACAACACGGACGACTTCTGAAGCTTAACCTTAAATCTTAATCCAAAATTCAGAACGCCTCAACCCGAAAATCCAAAACCCCGCACTGCAGATCTGAGCTGGGGCAAAAGCGCGACTCGATGATGTGGTCCATGGTGATGGCCAGGGGCTTTTAGGACTAGAGGGCCATGGCGCTTGAAGGGTTAGGGTTTAGGGTTTAGGGTGTAGGGCGTATGGTTCAGGGTTTAGGTGCAGGGGTTGAGGGTTGGAGTTGTGGAAAGAGGGGTGAAGGGTTTAGAATTTCAGGATACTGGAGCTTCGGAATCATAGGGTTTCTAGGGTCTCGGAATTATAGGGTCTCGTCAGAGGGTTTGGGGCTCAAAGTTGGTTCAACCGCCTAACCATAAATCTTGAAACTAGCTGTCCTATGTCGACTATGGTTTACTGCAATCTGAACCCAAAACACGGACTCTTCAGTCTGAAGCTCGGGCAGAAACACCGGCAAAAATCGAAACCCCTCCCAAGGAATAGCTAGTAATAATATCAGAGCTGGCTAGTAGGACCCTAAACCCTAAACCCTCATATAAGTAACCATATACCCTATTACAAACCCTAAAGGCTTAACCTAATATACCCACAGGCAAAGGTACATTCGGCCTAGGGTACCCTTTAGCAGTTCCCGAACCTATTATTTCAGAATACAACACATCTTGCGCGCCTCCACTGCAGCCGCTGAAGCATCTCCGCCGCCGGCGGCCATGGATGCTGCCCTCGGTACGAGTCGTTCTGAGCATTGGTAACCCTTAAAGTATCCGTACGCTGGCACTCCGCAGCCACCCCATAGAAACTGTAGCGATATAGTATCCATAGGAACTTATCAACGGTCTGAAGGGCTTTAACTTGAAGCCAGGGGATCTCTGCGGCGACATGGTATTCAACAGAGTCTAGAAACCCCGTAATAAGCTCCAACGCTTGTCCAAGATCTCGATATTTGCACAAGGGCTGCTTTTCAGCAACAACGCGAAGCGTGCTGGTCCGGCACTGCGCTTATAGACAGTTTCCAGGCTATCCTTCCCTCTCTCTGCCGACTTGTTTGCTGAGCGCTCTGCAGCCCGTCCAGCGCAGAGAGCCGCGACTGGCGTCGGAACGTCCAAGTTTACACTGGCACGGAACTGAAGCCCTGCTTGGAAGACTGCGTGATGTTTCAGGGACAACGAGACGAGGCTAGACCCGGCTAGGCTAGACTAGACATCATGAAGAGAGCTCGCGGAGAAGCTGAAGCAGGTGTCGGACGCCTGGACTCTTCGGAGTTACGCTTCTGCCAGCACGGGAACCGAAAGATCAGAAGATCGGTGCTGCAATCGGTGTGGAGCATATCAGGATTGCATACAACACATGGTATGTAAACCCCAAACCCAAAGCTACTTTACATAAGACCACCTTACCAAACCTGCTAATATAGGGGCCTGAATCATTGGAATGGTGTTTCCTCGCCCAGTATACCATACTTATTAACAAGGAACCCCTAAAATAGTATCGGCAAGTATTTAAGGCCCGTATACTAAATCCTTATAATCGCCCTTATAGTAGCCCTTCTAGACCCCTTTAAAGGAAACCTCTTCTTATTCTTGATGCCCCCCTACATTACAGCAGCTCTCTGCTTCCAGGTGGAGGGAGCCTCCATCGCCTGGGAGCGCTGCATGAGGCGCTGCACATCTTGCTGCACCTGGGAGCGTCAAGATTGAGCAGGAAGGCCTTATGATCATTGTGATCATTCTTACTGTTATTAATTATGGTTACTATGATTGCTATGATTAGTATGAATATTAGTATTAGCAATATTCATGATTAGTATGACTAGTATGATTACTGTTATTGCCTTTATCAAGATTGCTCTGGGTTTGAGGGCTGTTTCAAACAGAAGCCTGATAAACAGGGAACACCAGCAAGGGTGGACCTCTTCAAGGCTATACAAGATCCAGTTCAACTTAACAGCACCGCAAGGCACATCAACCCTGCGGCTCGCGTTTTCGAGGACTGACACTGTAGCGGCCGTAATATTTAGAATAGGGTTTTGGAGGATATTATACTATAATTACAGTGAGGACCCCCCAACTAGTATAGTTATTCAGTCAACCCCCTAAATGAGTCGGCGTGGGCGGCACTCCTCCGACCGAGGCTTGCTTCCTCTTCCGCCATCCGAAGCACAATAATGCCAACACCCCTAAACCCCCTAAACCCCTTGAACCCCGAATCCGAAACCCCCAAACCCCTAAACCCAAAACCCTAAGGCGACTGATGACATGGCCGGTAGGTGTCAAGACTGCTGCACAGAAACGCTGGTAGCAGGCAGTTATTACTATAAAATTGCTATTCGTATACTATTATGAATTATTACTAGTATTTGATTATTATTCTTCTTCCTACTGTTATTTATTGTTAGTATGTTTATTGCTCTTGCTTTGTTGAATACATTTCTGATCCCAAGCCTCACCACACCGCGTGACACCTTCTGTTGCGAATCTCACCGGGAGCCCCACCCGCATGGAGTGAGTGGCGACCTCCTGCAAAAGCTGCACAGAGCTTTGAGAATTGGCGAATGGATATTTTGCAAATCTACGCAGAAATTCCTTACGAAACCCCGAAGCCCTACTGAGAATCATCGGGAACCCTGGGGGGCGTACTGTGTTGCACAGTTCTTCTGCCCTCTATAAAATCGCGACACACCCCTTTTGGGGTGCCTCCAGTCGCCGGCCATCTGCGGCCAAAGGCGACCCGAGGGCGGCGGGGCCCCCGCCCATAACCTGTGCCGAGGCGACTGTGGGGTAGGTTTAGAGAGGGTTGAGGGATCAGGGAATGCAGAGCTTAGGATACCGGTCTAGAATTATAGAGACTGCTGGCGGGGTTGCAATGAAGGTTACGATCAGGGTTTAAAAGGGTACTGTAAGTGTTGTTCCAGCCATTACGACAGGGGTCACTATAAGGGCTTCTGCTGGTTTACAGATTGAAGGCTTACGAGTTGATGGTTTGGGTGTGTAAGCAGAACTTCGAATGAACACCTGGAAGCTTCTGCAGTTAAAGTATGCAAAAGGAGTCTTTGTGGTGGTTGTTGATTAGAAGTTACGGGGGTTTGAAGTCTGATAGGGTTCTTGGCAAGCTGAGGTCACAGATCACTTACAACGTATGCCAACGATCGCCACGTAAACTACTGTCACTGTGACAAGGAGCCTCTGCGCTTGCTTTTTTTGTTCGCTTGATCAAGCTGCGACCGTTCGCAGACCCTACGATCGTCTCAAACCCGGAAGTCTCCCACTATGTAGGCCTTGATGTTGCGCTCGAGACGCCTGGGCCGAAGACGTTGTTGAATCTAGAAACTCTCTTCTTTGACCGCGAATGTCCATAAAGATAAAGATCTCAAGCATCAGTATTCGGAATACTTTGTTCCTTTTCCCTTGTGGCCGATATACTCAACTTCAAACTCGCCTTGAAAGAGAGCTGTTTGAATCTCAAGTCCCCACATGATCCCAGATCCAAAAAATGCGTGGCATATTCCCAAACTCCTATTCCTTACATCCTGAGCCCGAAAACTGCCCGCCACCCCACCAGCTGTTATAAGTGGTTCGTCTTGGCCTGGGTTTTACGGTTCATAAGTTTGCGGGCGTAGGTTTCAAGGTGCAAGTTCCGTGGTCTCAAGAGCCAAGAGTTAGTAACCCTTGCACAGTGACGCAGCAACTCTAAACGACTCTCAACTCTAAGCTAGAAACCCTGAACCCTTGACGGCCCGACTACCCCGTGTTATACCCTAAACACTCACTTTTAAGGACCGTAAGGGCTCTATTAAAGGGGTTTGGGGGATCCTGGTAAACCCTGAACCCTAAACCCTGCAACCCTTAAACCCATCATTCATGGGCTTTAAACCCTATACCCTGAACCCTACACCCTAAACCCCATTACTGATGTCCATTAAATCCTATACCCTGAACCCTAGACCCCTAAACAACTTGAAACCCCATACCCTTAACCCACGACCCTAAATCCTAAACTCTAAACCCGCCTGCAAGCCTACACCCTGAACCCTACAGCCCCCCAACTACCCTCTAATATACCTAAACCCTAAGCCCTAAACTCCTAAACCTCCAATTCCAATAAACCCCCCTGAACCCTATACTATAGTACCCTCATAGATCCGTTATGGTAGCCCCTATAGACGCCTTTAAAAGGAACCCGTTTCTTTTCTAGACCCCCAAGCGCAGCCAGCGCGGCGCGACCCGCGACTCCAGCGAGGCTCCACCGGCCGCACCGGCGCCGGAGCCCGTCGAGCCCGGCCGCCTCACCAAGACGGATAGTTTAGGGTTTGGAGGGTACAGGGTTGAGGGTTTTGGGTTTAGGGGTTTAGGGGTTTAGGGTTTAAAGGTTTAGGGTTTAGGGCTTAGGGATTGGAGGGTTTAGAGGGTTTAGCAGGTTTGGAGGATTTGGAGGGTTTAGAGGGTTTACAGGGTTTAGAGGGTTTAGAAGGTTTAGAAGATTCAGAGGGTTTAGAGGATTTAGAGGGTTTAAAGGATTTAGAGGGTTTAGAGGGTTTGTGGGGTCTAGGGTTTATAGGGTTTATGGTTTAGAGGTTTACAGGGTTTAGGGTTTAGGGTTTCTGTGGGCTGCGACCTACAAGTATACGGCTACTATAAGGATACTAAAGATGATTGAAAGAGTTTCTCTGGCTACGAAGTTAAAGTATAAGGCTACTATAAGGGTACAAACAACATATTTGCTACCGGGTTGGGGATTTGTACTGGCTTCAGAAATGGGTTTCTGGCTTTTCGAGTTCTTCGGGGATCAAAGCCATCCGGCAAATTCTGGTACCGTATTCAAGGTCCTTGTAAATGGGCCCCGTAATAAGGTCAATCATTAGTACGATTGGAGAAATGACCAACCTTTCTTTCAAGCGTCACAGGTCTTACCACGCATGGGACCTACATCAGATACAAACCCGTTGGAAGTGCATGTCCCTAAACCCTAAACCCTATACCCCCGAACCCTGTTCTAATTACCCGACAGGACAAGAACAAGAACAAGAGTACCAAGAACAGCAAAAAAGTGGCAACCTCAACTAAACTACGACTGCTACACTACCACTTCCACTACCACCACCTCTACCACTACCACTATCACCAGCACCCTGTACAAAAACCATCCAAGGCTGTGAAACCCTTTTCAGCCTGTGCGTGCTACCAAACTCTACTTTGCAAGAGCTTTGAGGGTCTAGGATTACGATTCTGGATAGAACTTATCATATATTATACTCGTAAGAGTCGTGACGGCCTAGGATTACTAGTCTGAGTTTTATATATATATATATATATATATATATATATATATGGTCACCCCCCTCCCATTATATATATATATAGAAAGAGAGAGAGAGAGAGAGAGAGAGAGAGAGAGAGAGAGAGAGAGAGAGAGAGAGAGAGAGAGATCTACATGATGTTTATCTATAGTCATCCAAAGCCCTGAAAAGTCACTGCCTCGACTCCTCCTTGGGTTCTGAAACCTCCGAGGCGGCCTGAGAGGCATCGATCACTGCTGTGTTTAGGATTTTTTGTAAGTGCAATAGCCCCTTTCGCCACAGCAGTAGAGCTTTTGAGTGTTTAGGTTTTGGGGCTTAGGGTTCTAGGTTCTGAGGCTTGGGGTCTAGGTTTTTCAGGATTTGCGGCTTTGGGTTCTAGGTTCTGAGGCTCAGGGTCTAGCTAGTTTAGGTTCTGAGGC